TCTCTCCATTATTTCAATGACCAAATCAGAATAATGGGTTGTCAACTCTCCTGTGGGTGTGTGAGGATAACAAGTTAATGAAACTCCAATTTTTATCCTGAATTGTGAATACACACACAAAGTGAAGCTGGCAAAAAATTCTGGCTTCATGAAGTAGATTCCAAAAAATCAGATTTTGGAAGTACCTTTTCAGCACCCCACACAAGCTTTTGTTTATAGACTAAGTATTTTTGCAATCTGATAAACATAGTTTAGGTGTGGGGTACAGTGATGGGGTCTTCCAATTTGTACTTTCCACAGTAAAAGCACCCTTTTCTAAAGTGATTACTATGAGCTTATTTAGTTATCACACTAACTTCGGTACAATCCCAGCTAATTTACTTTTAATGATTAGCAATACCAACATGTTAATCTGTAGCCTGACAGGACTAGCTGATACACTTCTAAATCCTTTGCCACTATTTCACCCCCCCCCAAAAAAAACAAACAAAAAAAAAAAAAAAAAAAGAACACCAGAAAAATTTTTTCTTAAGGTTAATTATAAAGTAACATTCATTTTTGTTTTTAATACTTAACTTTTCAAGGATGAAGATAATTACACAAAAAACTTACTTGAAGTTTATCTTCATGGTTACTATGTGTATCAGAAAGATGGCGAAATTCTTGTGTCATTCGGAAGCAGTGATCCAAATGTTCAGGAGATACAAAATCTTCAGCAACCTTCACACAGCTGTGTAAGTTGCGCACCTGAAAAGTAAAAAATTAGAGCAAATTTCATGCCAAATTTCAAAATGTGTATGTGAATACTGGGATTAAATATAGATTAGAATCTGACAATGATAAGATAAATAGCAAATAGGATATGCTTATAAATTTAATGAAAGATAATGTTCTGCTACTTTTAGTTCTGTACTTTTTTTTTTATTGCCCATATGTATAACTCCTGAAGGTGCTAGAGAGGTTATGTGTGTGTATATATATATACGTGTTCATGTATCATTTCTATTTGGCCTTGTGGGATTTGGGTGCCTTTTCTGTCTGGTAGTACCTGTGTGTTGATTGAGGATGTCTGTGGTCGGAATGAAAGACATAAGTTACACTGGCTGCAGGTATATAAAAATTAGATTCTTTAAATATGGATTTTATGAAAAGTTGGTGATATGAAAAAGCATATTTACTGTGTGTTTATTGATTGGAAAGTGTTTATTACTATTCCTTCTAAATATTTCCTTCATAGTAAAGAACTTTTTATTAGAGTGGTGTTATTTAAAAAAAAAAAAAAAAAAAAAAAAAAGAAAGTCATTGCCCATTTTATAACTACGTGTTACAAGACTTCAGTGGGTGGTCTAAATGTAAGTTGCTCTTGTTTGTATATGCAAGCTTTTAAGTGTGCTTGTTACCTAGTGTTGAGGATCAAGTGATGAGAGCATTGAAGAAGTCTAAACATGCTTTATTTCTCTTCATCTAGGTGTTCTGGACTGCATATTCAAAAGGCTTTGAGGTAATACCTTGTAAGTTCTGATTTTATTTTTGGCTGTGATTAGAATAGAAATTGATTAAATAATTTTTGTTTGATGGTTTGCAACAAACATATCTAGTTTGTTTTTGGCTTGTATTAATGTTGAAGGGAAGGGTGGTATTTATTTCACATTCATGTGTGAATTTGATAATTGGTTTCGTGTTGCCAAGTTTTATATATATACACACACACACACACACACACACACGTCATAGCAAATTACCTGATGAGGTGCACCAGCTGGAATGAATACAGCATCTCCTAGGCATTGAACTATTGTGTAGCCCAATACCCCATATTCTTTGTTTAGACGATCCCTTAATTTGGCATCTAAGTACCAGCTTTGATCATGAATAGGGTCATGATCAGGTTCAATCTTCTGTCCATTTTCTTTACCCACCTAAAAGAAAAGTTAAAGTTTTAAATGTGTCACAATCTTTAAAAAATGTTTTTGATCATTTTAAATATACATAGGAGACAAATCAATCACCTTATTGAGCAAGTCTCTAATTTTGTCAGCTTCCTCAGCACAATAGATATGCCATAATGCTCCAGGAATTTCATTCACTTCCCGAACCCGTCGTTTAGTAATTATATCACAATCTGCATCATCTATGGCTTTCAATGCCGCTATAAAAAAGAAAAATAATGGAAATCGAGTATCTCTGCATATTGACTCTTTAAAATTACATTTTATGCTGATTAAATTACTCAAATAGCACAAAAAAAAAAAAAATTACTCAAATTGAATCAACAAAGTATTTTAAAAATTTTAAAGTTTATTTTAAAAGATGCTTCAATAGGTTCCAGTTACAATAAAGGTTTCATTTTCCACTACTCATTTAATGAGTTCAAAGCAATTAACAAAAAAGAAGACTTATATCATGTAATCAATTGCAAAATGAAATTACAATTTGTATATAGAGAATATTTAGACAAGGTCAACTAAAGAACTAGTCAAATTGAAAGCAATGCTATGAACTCTAATATCAGCTCTTGAAGTATCTAGCTAATGAAATAAGGAAGAATAAAACAAACCCTCAATATGGTCTTGACGACCATTAGGGCCATCATCAGGGATGCCCACATGGACCATAACATTCACAGCATCGGACACATCCAAATGCAAATTTGTTGTTCCTTCAGACGGAAAACTTGCTGAACCTTTAAGAGAAAAAAAAAGAAAAAAAAGAAAAGAAAAAAAAAAAGAATTATATCTAGAATGGAATAAGAAAATGGGGGAGGCAGGAATATGCAAAAAAATATCTTACCATAAGCATTGTACATTTTTGGTCCCAAATCAGGTCTGACCAAGAAATCTGGAAGGCGTGAAGCTAAATTTAGAATCCCTACCCTGTGTGTATATTCTGGCAAAGGGAGTGCTTGCATTAAATCTGTAAACCTCTGTGGAAGGAGGTCACTAAAGTCATCTCCTGGAGGCCAATCTTTCAATTTCAGCAACATAGGGTCGTTATTTTTATCTTTCAGACGTTCTGAAAAACAAAAAGCAGACAAATATTATTAAATAACTTATTTTGCAGAGTTTGATTTTATTAGAAAAAAAAAAGTTTCCAATTAAGTACTGAACTATAAAACCTTTATTAAAAGTAGGCATTTAATTTTATTACAAACTGATAAAAAGCAACTACCTCATCTGAACAAAAAATAAAAACATTTTGCATTTCAATAAACCACAAGTGAATAATGACTTCACTCACTCTTTATGCTCTCAAATCCTTCCCAGAAGATTTTCATAGGATGTCCAATCCAAACATCTCCAGTCCGGCAATTAACCAAGTCATTTTCCAAATGACCAAACTCTTCACCAAAACTATCTGGTTGCCAAATTTTCTTTTTTAAGTACTTCTGTACACCAGATACAATGACTGGCTGTGAAGAGAGAAAGTGGGTGAAAAAAAAAAATAAAAAATAAAAAAAAATAGTAACATAATATTCATTGTTCAAAAAGAATATAATTATTTTCAACAAGTAATCTGGAAAGCAAAATTTGAAGTTACTTACTGATCCCTGTTTCCATTGTTCCTGAAAAATAAGGATATTGTTCTTGTGTTTTGGCTCATGCAACCTGAGAAGACGCCCATCACAAAGCCATGAATGTGGGACATCAGGGTACAACACACTTGTTTCTGTCAGAGTGTGCTTAGAAATTGGAATCTCTCGAGCAATAATGCGAGGTCCCATCCGTGGGATGTAATGCATGAGCTTCATCATTGGCACAGTTTCATTTTCTTTAGGAAAAGCTTTGCCCACAACTGACTGGATGATATCTGCCAGAGTATCACGTACTGTCTTTGGTTTAGATGTTTTTTTGTTATCAGCACCAGGCTTTACTTTGCCAGCTGTTTTGGTTAACAGCTCTCGCAGAGTTGAGCATCCTGGAGGTTTCTTTTCCCCACCTTCTGTTGAACCAGCAGGAAGGGCTTCTTGGTTACCCGCATTGTTTGATTCCTCTTTTTTATTCAGCAGTGGATCTGTACGATCACGACTGTTTTCAGAATTCATAGCTACGTCAGCAAGGAGACAAAGGGGAGAATTTGCATCAGGATTATAGTTGGAAAGATTTTCTGGTTGAGTCCCATGACTTCCTTTCTTATTCTTACTCTCTTCTTCCAAACCATTCACAAGTTTTAGGTTCTTATCTGAAGACACATGATTTACAGCATTTTGAATCAATTCCTTAAAAGAAAAAAAAGAAAAAGGAAAAATGGATATGTGAGATACTGGCATATTCATTACGTTTTCAAAGATTTGAAAGTGTCATGAAACATTAATGCAGTAAAATTTATGTTTTACCTGACTAGAGGCAAAGATTATATAAACTGAAACATGATGCACTTGCTTAAATTTGACCAAATAAGTTTTTCATGGTTGGGCTGAGAACTCTTCAATACCACCTTCTGTTTATAACAGTGATGTTATCAGAAATTAAATACTCATGCAGACAATTATACAAATTAACTTTAATATACCATGAAAATAAAGAATTTTATAAAAACTAGTTTTAGTTCCAGAAAACCTTTAAGATTAAAAGGTAGATGGTAATTAAACATCAATAAAAGGCATGTAACATTTTACCTGGTTCACACCATTCTTCTGGACAACATCTCTATCACAAGAGCAGTTTGAAGGAATATTGAATCTTTTTCTCAAGTCATGGATACGTCTACCTAAATCCCAAAGAGCTATTAAAAAAAAAAAAAAAAAAAAAAAAAAAAAAAAAAAAAAAAAAAAAAAAGAAAAAAGAAGAGCCAGTAAACAATATTAAGAGATGTTACTTGCAAATAATTTTCAATTAGCTTATAACATTCATAATCATAAAATTTTATTTTACTAAATCACAAGAATTTTATGTACATTGAAGATGTAATTATTAATCTTTACACAGAAATTACAGAAATTTTAACTCACCATTGGAAGGGATGATTTGTGTCAGCATCAACTTCTCTGGTTCATGAGGCTGTCTGTTTGCACTACATGTTAACCATTCATGCTCCTCAGGAGATGAAGCTTAAAAACAATACATTTAGTATGAAAGTCAAAATTAAACCAAATCTAAAGAATGAGCAATATGAGAAATCAATGATTTTAGAACAAAATCAATTTCAAAGAAATTTGTAAACAATTCACAGACCCTTTAAAACAAAACACTGGAAAATCAAATTCAAACTGAGAAATTTTCACAATTTGAATGTTCAAATAAGTGGCAAAATAGTAATGCTGGTCAAGTAGGACTTTAGGGCAGAGGAACAGTTCCATTCATATGACATGAATGTAAAGATATTCCTTCCTGATAAGTATAACTAAAAATGATCCAAATCAAATTGAATGGCAATAATGATATCAGCCTAGATATCATAATGGAATAACTCATTGATAATTTAGCAGCAATTTGTTCCTTCTGGTCTGTCTTTTTTCCTTCACCCACTGAAACTTAACTGAGCTAGGATCAGTGGAAAAAAAGACATCCAACAAGTGGAATATATTAAGCAATAATCTTGAAATCAAGACCAAGAAAAATTGCCACGAATGAAGTATGCTTCAAATATCACATTACTTAATCCAAACCATATCTTCTCAAACTTGACATTTACAACAAAAGTCATTCCACTTAAGAAAAACTTACCTATCTCATCATTTTCCTCATTGTCAGAGTTGGATCGATTCATGCGAGTCTTATAACAGTCAAGACAGGCCACAAAGCCACATTTGTGACATACCCAGTGGATATTAAATAGGGTTGTGTCACACACATCACACATTTCTCTAACGCCAGTCACAGCACGTTTCCAAGCAATTTTAGCTAAGAGGGAAGAAAAATTGAAACCAATTAAGAATCAGTTTTTCAGAACATAGAACTTTTATTAGATGTTTGATTTAGTAATGAAAGAATCATGAGCATGGATAAGCAATTTTTAAAAATATAATCAAGCAAATTTTTTGCTTAAAGGATATGTTTATATTCATGTAATTAAAGTGCTAATATTTAATTGCACCTATAATATTTTAAAATAACCATACAAATGACTTAATATTTTTGTTAAGGACAAAAATAAAACAATTTTCTGAAGTTGTACATCAGTAAATGTTTGAAGCTGCACCATTATTTTAGCTCATTTACTTACTATCTTTGCCAGCCCAAGACCTAGCCTCTCGTTCTTGTTCAACCAACTCGCAGAACTTGTCTCCAACTTTACTGAGTATGTATTTTGACATCTTTTCATCAATCTGAGGATCATTAACTGGAAGGATGAAGTACAATATTCATTAAGCAATAAACTGAAATAATCATGAAACTTTTGAAGAAAAGGAAAAATGATTTAAAAAATAAGGCAGAATTTTAAAGCTTACCAGGTAATTCTGGTTCCCATGGTTTAACATCACCTTTATAAGCATCAGACAACTCAGCAAATCCTGCAATCATCAAGAAGCCTTTCTGGCTGTAGCGTAACCTAAAAATTAAAGAAATTTTATTAGAATCAAAATATCAAGCTAATAAGACTATTCATACAAGTAAATAAAATTCACACACACAAGCTTATTTTATTGAACTGGTTTGAAAATTCAAGTTTTAATTATTAGTAATTAAAAGTTTTAACTTAAAATCAATAAAAAGAAAAAAGAAAACTCACTTCCTGAATTCATAAAATCTGCAGAAAATATTTGGTAGCTTTTTACTCCGTTGATTAGGTGTTAAACGACATTCACGACACTTCATCAATTTTGGTGTGACATCCCGGCAAGCTCCATCTTGTAAAAAGGGCTCTCCAGTGCGTCTCAGAGTTGCAACACTAGCTTTTGGTGGTGGGTGACGGTAAGCATTAACACCTAAAATTTGTTAAAAAAAAAAAATTGAAATGATTTCAAAAAAGAAATTGAATAAGGGCATTAACCTTTAAAATGGAAATAATTTTAAGGTACTTTTGTGAAATAAGTCATTGAATTGCCAAGAATGAACAGAATTGAAATTGTAATTATCAATATGTACCTTGGAGATGTGTGCTCAGAAGTGGTTAGGAAAAAAAGAGAAAGAATAATCACATTTTCTAGCAAACAAAAAGGTGAGGGTTCAATTAAACTGTAAGGTAAACTGCACTAACATTTACAGGTAAAGCCTTCTTTGAGTTTTACAATCTGTAGTTTGTTTTTTGTTTTTCCAGATGTTGCCCAAAGTGTTATTGAACTTGTTAGATAATTTTAATATTGTTTGGATATTATTTGATACAGATTTAAGTCTTAAGAGAGAAGTAACTTTAAAGTTTTCTATGTGAAAACTCATAATACCAATATAAAAAAGAAATTCTAAGAGAATACACACTAATTATATTGCTAAGTTTAAAAGCTGATTAATCGGACTCATTTTCAAGAAAAAGGAAAAATAGACCACAATTATTCTTTATGGAGGAGAAGAAAAAAAAAAAAAAAAAAAAAAAAAAAAAAGAAAAGAAAAGAACACCTAATATACTTATTTCATAAGTTATGATTATATCTTTGAACTTTAAAAGTTAAAACAATTAAATCTTTTCTATCTTTATTTAAAAAAAAAGAAAGAAAAAAAAGATGATTCTTTAAACTTACTTATTTTGTCTTCCTTAAAGGTAGAAATATCAGCTTTATGTCCAACATCAGAATCCTGAGAAATGTTATCCATGTCCATAGCTTCATCTTTGGAATCAGAATCTGGACAATTGTCTGAATCTTCTTGTTTTACATGACATTCTGAAATCTTTGAAAGTAAAAGTATCCAATGAAATAAATCATTCAATGACAATGGAAATACTGGAAAACAAAAAAAATAAAATTTACATTTCAAACTTGAAGATCAGTGTTGAACCTACCAATAACTTCTAGGTTAAAAGCAGGTCTTTGGTTATACAAAAGTGTTTCAGTTCAAGGAAATTTTTTTTTTTTTATAAATATTAACTTTGAACATTTTTACTATTTGAACCTATCATGAAAAATTCACTATGTGGAATTAGTAAATACTAAGCATTACAAATGCCTTGGTGTATGGATCAGTTATAACAAATTTAGTATAGCAGCAAGTAAAAGTGCCAGTAGTTTAGACCAACACTGTAAATTGCTACAAACCAAACTTTAACCTAAGATCTCTTTTCATGTTCTTAAATAGCATTATTAAAGCTGTCATTTAGATGTCATGCAAGCTGCCAAACTCCTTCATCAAAATCTGAATTGTGAGCTGTATACAGCTGCTTTCTCAGATCAACGTTTAAAAATGGCTTTGAACTAATGAAGACTAGCTCTGAGTAAGGACCATTTTTCTTCAAACTTTGTAGATTGGTGCTACAGAATCACAAACAAAAAATAACTATATTAGATAACTTGAGGACTTTCAACAATAGCAACAACTAATATGGATAGCACATGTAACTCAAAGAGAAAATAATGACAATCAAGATGTTGACATTTCACACTACTATAAACAAAAGGTTAAGAATAAAGTCTACATCAATACTGGAGAGAACAATAACAGTGGACATGAGAAACTTTCCTGAAAAATTGTTTTAAGAGAATTTCAACCAAAAGTAGTATTGGCTGATTGAACAAGGAATGTTTTCTTATAAGGACTTAGCTAATATTACCATTATCATTTTGTTTAACTATTTTCTACTATCTCTTAAGCAACTTAATTCTATAAATCAATTATTTATCTTTATCAAAAAAATATCTTCATGAAGAGAATCCTGTAAAGAGTGCAGTAAATAGTAATCTATGACTATACATGTTCTCTTAACCAATTCTAAATGATTTTTATCAATTGCTACTTTCATTTGGTCCATTTAGAAGCAATACTTATTTGAAATTGTTTGCTACTCAGGAAATATCACAGAATAGATAACACTTCCAATCTTATCACACACAAAACAGCAACTCTAGATAAGATTTAAGTTTTGGTGCAGTTAATTGTGGCTAATTTCACTTGTTCTATGACCTGTTGCATTTTATATCGTCATAAAGTATGCATTTTTACTATCCTGTCTCGGAAAAAGAAAATTTATGCAGAAGCTACACATCAAGATGAACAAAGTTGGTGTAACTGATTGCCAACAATTGATTTGGATATCTTCATTTCCTACATTATAACATTCTCAGTTAACGAATTGATCTGACTGGGTACATACAATCTTTCCTATATTTAATCATTTTTATATGAAGAAGCATAACATGCCAAAAACATTGCTTATTTTCTTTATGCTTTTAAATCCAACAAAAAAAAAAAAAAAACAAAAAAACACACACCCAATTATACTTGTAAACAATGTGGATATTGAAAATAAAATTTTAGTATCAGATGCTTGGTAATTAGGTTCTGAACAAAAATTAAAGTTTAGAAGCTAGAGGATAACGGCCACGTGCCAAAACACCAGTTCCTATATGATCACTAAAATTAAACAACGTTGAGCCTAGTCAGTACCTAAATGGATGACTGCTTGGGGAAACCAGGTGCTGTAAGCTTGGATGCCTGGGCTGTGTAATGGATATTGGCCAGGAATTGTTAATTCAAGAGCCGACTTCCAATTCCAGTTAGGTTTGTCATAATCACTTACACACAAATACCCTTCTCCCATCAGCTATGGATTAATTAGCAAGACTTATCACTAAAACCACTGTGTACAAAATATTTAGATTTTGGCATTAAATAACCCATAGACTGACATGCAGCTAAACAAAAACTACCACTAGAATTTAGTTTTTGATTAATTTTAACTCACTTTTGATCTCTGACATGCTGTCTTTGCTTTTCCTGAAGCATTTTTCTTTTTACTTATATATTTAGGTTCTTCATCACAGATGCTGTTTGGTTCAGATTTTATTTCATTTTTTATTTTTTTGGCTTCAATTTCCTCCATATGAGTTTCTTGGCGATGGCGTTTGGAAGCAGGGTTCACATCATCATGCTAGAAAGTAAAACAAATTTTGTAAATTTTTTTTTTTTTTTTTTTTAAACATGTACATACATATAATGCTGAAAAAAAATAAATAAAAAAAATAAAAATATAAATTAGACTAGAATATCTTCATTTTGCTTTTCAGTCAATGTATTACAACGAAGTATTTGGAAACAAGAAAATAAAATGGCTTCACATTAAAAATATACAAAGAAATTATTTATTTATTTATTTATTTAAAATAAAAAAAAAAAATAAAAAACATGAATAAATTTAAGAAATACTGTTGGTCTGTGAAAAAGAGGTAGCGATTATACATTTAACTTTGTGGAGAAGCAAACACATCAATGAGCCATTCTTACCTGTACATCAGTTTCAGATGCAGAACTTGTTGACTCATCACTATCTTTTGTCAAATCTTTCATGTTGCCATTAGCCATTCTGATGGAGGTTATTGGAGATTTGCTGCCCCCTTCTTTGCTTGGGGAGATGTAAGAACAGTTCACATAGCATGTTTTCACAACATCTCCCTTATCAGCCACACTATTTGGGTCCTCCTCTTTCACAGGTTTTAGCTCTTTGATCTTATCCTCATCAGAGTGACGCTGTAGCCAAGCCTTTTTAAGCTTTGGATGGTTGCTTGACCTTCCTGGAGATGCACAAGTCTCTTGCTTGGCTGGAGGGGGTGGACTGGGAGCACTTAGAGTGTCACTATCAGTGTCAATCTGGCCGTTCAGGCCTCTACTACTAATCTCAGAGTAATTAACCATGCCAGTTATAGCTCCTGGATGAGGTGCTATAACGGAGATACTTGTGGTAGGAGTGTTGTTGCTGCTACAACTGTGAGAAGTTGCCATTGTTGATGAAGTGGTATTGGTCACTGGAGTAGTGGTATTCAAAGAATGAGGGGGTGGAGGAGGTGGCAGTGGAGGGACTATGGACATACAGTCTTTATTTCGTTGTGAATGAGCAACTGCTGGAAGAGTCACTGTAGCTGATGGCACCTGCCGTTCAGTTTCTGTTATTTTTGACTGAAGTTTCTGTGTAGAAGGAATCACATCTGTAGTGTCTTGAAAGAAAGCATTTTGAACAGTATTCTCAACAAAAGACCGGAAACTGTCCATATAACCGGATGCTCTTGATGTAGTCAGCATTATACTGGAACCTGTTGTTGTAGCAGAAAGTGTGGCTGGAATGGATACAGTAGGTTGAAACGTAGTCCCACTACTGCTGGAAGTTGTGTAAGGGGAGGGATTGGACAGGATTTGAGGAGTTGTAACAGGAACACTTACAGATGTGGGAGTTATGATTTTAGATGTCTGATCAGGTTTCATTTTTTTTCTAATACTACTGTCCCTGACAGGCTTTCGTTTCATACTAACGGGAGTATTTGTTGTATATGCATTTGTGTGTGGATTAGTCAATGGAGAGAAAGTTTTAGGGGGCATCACATTTGTATGGGAACCTGGAACCCCATGGGGATGGCTCTCAGCACTGCTAGTAACAAGTGAATGTGAGGGAACCATGTATGAATGTACCAAGCCAGATATTGGTTGTTGACTGGCTTGAGACATGTGAGGTGAACTGACCGTTATTGAATGTGCACTGGAACTTATTACTTGACTGTTACAAGTATAAGGAGAACTAGATATATGGACACTACCACTACTGTAATGGGAGTTCACTGTAGAATTACTATGTCCCCGTTGACTGTTGGGGGGTGTTTTACGATAGTCAATTGGTTGCTGCATGACAGCAGCTGACAGTTGCTGAGGACTTGCTACCTGAAGAGGGCTTTGAGAACGAGATTTGTCAGCAATAATGAAAGCAGAGAGAGTATGTGCAGATGGCACATGACGTGGTGATGGTGAACTTGTATGAGGAGAACCATATGACACAGATGGTGTCGATGTCGAGAATGTTAGTGAACGTTCAGGAAGCCTGTCAGAATATGTGAGTGGTGTTGTGGGAGACATTGATTTAGAAGAGGGTGCAGCAGGACTACCGTATAGAGAGCTGTGGGGACTTGCTGATTTTGCACCATCTCTACATTTATTTTCAACAATAACGCTGTTGTGTGGTTTACCATCTTTGATGAGAGGTGGTGGAATTGACAAGTCTTTTCGTTTCAGAGATGGGGATGACTCTCGATGTAACAAACTTGATTCATGAGATCGATCATTTCTAGAACTATTTTTGTCTGTAAGTCCTCGTAAAGTCAACTGGTCACTACTGATGTAAGAGTGTTGGTATGGTTGGTAACCATAGAGACTGAAGTTAGGCTCCTGTTTCACCTGTTGTACCAAACTAGCTCGTTGATGAGAAGCCAAACTGTCATTATGAGAATAAACTTGTGAAGTTGAGAGTTTTTCTTCCTTCAATACAGACTCTGACTTTAGAGTTTCACCACGTTCTATCATTTTAATATGTCCCTCATAGAGCATTTGGCTTGCATGTGATTGATGCTGTAGAAGTCTATCATCTTTTGAATGTTTTTGATGAAGAGACAAATCAGGGTGTTTATCGAGGTAGACTGAACGCTGAGTATTAAGCAGAGGGCCATCGTGTTTGTCGTCTTTATCCTGGAGGTTAAAACAAATTAATTTAAGACTACTAAAAAAATGTCAACCTTTACTACCACTGGTGTCTGCCATCACCAAGTGTCTAGGTGATTCCAGAGACCTGAATTTCCAGATTTGTCTTCAGTAACTTATGCATATTCTACTCAATTCAAACTCAATTGCAAGTTAAAAAAACTACTTTAAATTTACTATTGAATTAAATTATCAAGTATAATGCAGAAAACAAAGGCCATATGAACATGGTCAGCAAATTTCAACCAGACAATTACAGAACTTGAAAGCAAAGCATCTTCAGAAGGACAAAATAATGAGGCTTTGAAATATATATATCTCAGCAAGCAAGAATAATTTGTAACTAAGATTTTACATTAGTTATGATTTAGAAATCAAAATGTATAGCCATCAATTTTGAAGCAAAAAAATTTGCAGTTTAGTTTTGTAAAATTACACTGGCAATGGCAGAGCACAAGTGGCAAGACTGACAAAATATTCAACAGAAATAACCTCCAGAAGTTATGCCATTTGATGAAAAATTTTTAAGATGAATCACGATTCAATTGGTATATAGTTTTTTTCTTTCAATTTCATTTCCACCTTTGCTCAGAATCACAAATACTTACAAATTAAAGATAAAAATTTCTAGTTTTGGATCTTTTCTATAACTAAATAATTTCCTTGACCGCAAACTCAGTCACAATGTTGGTTTACAGGTGCAAAGTAAATTAGTTACACTTAAGGATTTGAAGGTGGAAAATATAGAATCCACAATTGCAGCAGTGCTGACCTGACAAAAAAAAAAAAAAAAAAAAGCATTTGTGAGCAGAGAACTTAAGGAAATAACCAAGTCCTTGAAGTTACATTTTGTCTACTAATGGAATATTTGGGGGGGGAGGGAGAGAGAGAGAGAGAGAGAGAAAAAAAAAAACAACAACCTGTAAACCAACTATGTAACTACCTTTCACAGACTAGGTTGTTTCCTATATCAGAAGATGTCTATAAAGACATGCCATAACATCTTTATTATGCCTGCTTAGTTAAGAATTGATTTTTTCGCTTTACTTACATATTTATATTTCTCCACTTTATCCTCAATTTTGCTTTCAGGCCGAAGAGGATCTTGACGAGAGACATTGTGGGAAAAGACATTCGATTTAGTTGATTGTGGCATCAACTCATTTTTCCCAACAAGGCCTTTTCCTGTGCCTAATGTTATTGAAGGAGAAGGCCACACTGTAGTACTCTGCAAAATTCAAAGTTATGATGGATTGATGTCTCTATGAGTTTTCTTGGATTGATCATGTCCTTATTAATTCTGACTAGCATGAGGGATTTTTAAAATACTATATCAAAATACATAAAATATCTATACATGAAATGCATCAAGCAAAAGATTTTTTTCTGTCAAATTATAAGCTTAAGTTATCAAAACCTACTGTTAATTTAGACTTAAACAATAGAGCAAATCTAATTTTTTTTTTTTTACTGAATTAACCCCCCACCCAAAAAAAAACAAAACTTGTTAATCCCAAGTGTAGAAAAGTTGACATTCATATTTTCAAAAAAAATATTTTTAGAATAAAAACTGGTGCAAAATGTACTAAAGTATTTGAAAGTTAAGCCAGTGATTAGAAAAAAAGCAAAAAGCTTAACTATAAGACAAGTTTTGAGTAGCCTGTCAAGAAAAAGAAAATCTATTGATAGCTAGAGCAACAGAATCACTAACAAGCGCAGAATATGAGTTTTGTTCCCACACATTTGGAGGAGAGAGGAAGAAAAAATGCATGGAGTGTGAAAAATTCATTCACCATTCACATAAAATATTTGAGGAGAATATATACAAAAATACAGATGATGAAATGTTTACAATTAGTGAAGAGAAAATAATTTTAAGAGTGTAGTTCTCCACAAAGTTTGATTAAAAAATAAAAAAGCAAGCAGAACTTCTGCATGAAATTTTTTTTTTTTTAAGACAAACTTGACAATGTACACACACAAAAAAAAAAAAAAAAAAAAAAAAAAAAAAAAAAAAAAATTAAAAAAAAAAAAAAAAAAAAAAAAAAAAAAAAAAAAAAAAAAAAATGAACAAATAAAAATGAAAAAAAAATGAACAAATAAAAATGAAAAAAAAGTGAACAAATAAAAATGAAAAAAAAAGTGATCAAATAAAAAAAAAATGAAAAAAAAAAAAAAATGAAAAAATAAAAAAAGATGAAAAGTATAAAAAAAAGATGAAAAAGTATAAAAAAAAAGATGAAAAAGTATAAAAAAAAGATGAAAAAGTATAAAAAAAGATGAAAAAAGTATAAAAAAAAAAAAAAAAAAAAAAAAAAAATGATGAAAAATGCAAATACATTAAATAAGATTGGTACTCTTAATACATGGGAACCTAATGACAATTCAAATAGGTTCATCACAAAATGGAAAGTGTATAAAATTGAATCAATCAGTCATCTAAAAGAAAGAAAGAAAGAAAAATAAGTTTTTCCCAGTTATATATTTAATGCAAAATTTGGTGAACAGCCCAATACACTCAATGCACCTTAATTTCATTAATATTCTACCAACAGCTTTGCAGGAATTATAGGATAATTAACATTTAAAAAAAAAAAAAAAAAAAAAAAAACTACGACAGAAATTGAGGTAAGTCACCAGATTTATTCTAGTATATTACCCTATAAATTTAATGTCAAGCAAAATTTCCTTAGTAACATTGGTATTTTACCAGCTATATAATTTAGGAGCTGATTTCTATTCATGGCTCATTAGAGTAAAAAAGGGGAAAGAAGGATTTATTTTAATGCAGCTTCAGTATTAGCAAAAAATAAAAAAACTAAATTTAATCTAAAATATTTTAAATATCAAAAAGGTGTTAAACTTTTTGGTGCAAATGAGGGGAGAAGAAACTCAGTTAATAGTTCCTAACCAATATACACACATTAGTTTGAGCAGCTATTATATATATCACAGCTGTTTGAGGTTTCCTACAGACCCACTGAACTTAAAGTCAATTCAGGTTTCCTATGGTAAAAATTTTCTTTCCCAAGTGAAAATCATCACAAAAATAGCAAAAGTCATTTTGTCACAGCTTATTTTCTCTCAAAATATGGGTTTTTATACTTTTTTAGGGGTAAAATATTGAAAAATGACTGTTTTATCATCACCTAAACTAATATCAAGGAAACTTTTAATCTGAACCCCATGAAACTAGGTATTTTCTGAAAGCAAAAGATATATTCTTTCATTTAAAAGTAAAATTAGCTGGTGTAAATGACTCAAAATTTTTTTCAGTGGGTAAAATGTGAAAAATAGTGAAAATTTTGCATTTTTTTCTTGTTCTAAACAAATATTTCCCCCATTAATGGGAAATTAATCATTTTTTTTTTTTTTTTTTGAAAATCAGAAAGCCTAAATCATAATGAAACTATTTCAGGCATAAAATTGAGAGTTTTGAAGGAAATCAACATTCCTAGGTGTTCAAAATGCAACAAAATCCATTGTTAATTTTCAATTATATGACTACCAAGGGTTAAAAAAAATTGACACATAGCCACGGAAATCTTTAGTAAAAGGCAAGAGATTTATCTGCAATTCCTAACCACCAGAAACCAAAAGTTTTTTTTTTTTTTTAAAAATAGCGATAAGGAAAATAAACCTAATTGACTTTGACGTCTAGGTCAAAGGCCAGCCAGCCAGCAATAAACGGACGGCAAACCTTAGAACAAGTTGTAATAAAACCCACCACTCCCAGATAAAAGCAAAGAGTGAAAAAAAAAAAAAAAAAAAAAAAAAAAAAAAGGGTCTGAATTACTAGGGCTTCATACAACCTATGTTTGAACAATGGCTTGATGAGTTTACTTTTGTTTTTGTTTTAACACCCAGGCCCAGGTGATGACAACAACACTTAGCAGCCGACATTGTTTTTTTTTCACGCATATCGCCGCATATCTTTCGTATTTCCCATCGCCGTCCATTTATTCTAAAAGCCACGAATTTAATCACAAAATTAAATTCGTGGCTTTTACCTTCCATTTTTGAAACATGGTTAGAACTGTGTAGCAGAAAAAAACCATATTTTAAATCAATTTATTTTAATTTATATATATATATATATATATATATATATATATATATATATATATATATATATAGTGAACATAGAAGTCAACACTTAGAGGCGACAGTGTTTCATGCTAGATGCAATCATCAGGACATGAGTGCCGTTATTTTTTATATATATATATATATATATATGGGTCAGTGGTGCATTGTGGGTAGTCTATTTTGGCGATTATTTTACCGGAAGTTGTTTATAATCAATCCAAAGAAATACATGAAGTAATAAACAAATTTGTTCCCTCAAAAAAAATAAAATAAAATAAACTACAACAATCAACCCCAAAATTGAATACATAACTTTAATTATCCTCCCAAACAAAACTATTAAGTAAGCTATATAAACAAATAAAAACGCCGATTAAAATAAATAAGTTAAGAAATAAAAATAAAAAATATATAAAACCAAGGAAAATAATTTAACCCAAATAAACGACTTCCGGTAAAATAACCGCCAAAATAGACTACCCACAATGCACCACTGACCTGTATATATAAATAGCCGAGAAAAATAACGGCACTCGTGGCCTGACGATTGCATCTAACACGCAACAGACTGTTGCCTCTAAGTGTTGACTTCTATGTTCACTTTTATATTTACACAAGCACTATCTCTGATATTGAGCACTTTATCCCATAAATATAGCACATCTTAAGACTATATATATAATAAAAAGAGAAATACAAACTAAATGTAATTCTGGTTAAATATTTTGTAAATATTAATTTAGTAAAACTGTATTGAGTATTATATTAGAGTTAAAAACTTTTGGCTAATTTCAAGAGTCAACAAATTCTTTCCCCGATATTAAGTAGATTTTATTGAACCTATCAGTACTTTCTGGGAAAGATATAATTCCTCTGATTGAAGAAACACTAATAGAAAGCAGGGAGGAACAAATAGACAAGATTGTAGGCAAACAGAACCATTTCAATTCTGTACTGAAAAATCCAGAGGACTCTCACATCTGATAGTGAACCCATATTGCTCCAACAAAAAAGATGGCTCATGGTCACCTACCCGCTGACTGGCTCGTTTTAGAGACTCAATGAAATGCTGATTGACAGCAGCAGCAGGTGTAACTTCCTGAGTCTTCATGAAGACCCGCTGTCTTTCTTGCCTTTGGTCACGTTCTCTCTCTTGAAGTTCTCGATCTTGACGTTCATGTTCTTCTCTCATATGTCTTTCCTTCTCTAATTTCTCTCGTTCAACACGTTCTCTTTCCATTTTTTCTCTTTCAGCAAGTTCTTTCTCTTGCCGTTCTCTACAAGATATATGAAAATGAAACATGAGCAATAAATTAAATACAAAAAACTTTGCAACCTAAAAAGCAAATTTCTTACTCAAAATCTTATATACAATGGCTTGCTTTCACTTTTACATATTTTCAAAGCATAAATGAAACATTACAGAGTAACAAGAACCAGCTTATTGTACATAAAAATTCCAGGAGCAATAAGAAAAAAAATTCATGTGTACATATTGTTCAACATTTTAGACCATAAGATGATACAGCAAATGATACAAAATTCACATGAGACATTTGGCATAAGTTATATATATATATATATTATATATAAAACAAACTCCAATTACTATACACTTTCAAGATGATGGATAATTTCCCAAGAATAACAGAACAAATTTAGCAAAAGAACAACACAATTAACCATTTTCTTTATATTGTTCTGAAATTGAATAATTTCCCTACAGCATATGGATGTCAAGGAGTCATTCATCTAAATTTTCAGTACATCAGGCCAAAAACTAATGCTTGCCGAAATTTATAGGTTTATACATGCATAGATTAGCACTTCTGTCTAGTAATATGGGCATCCTATGAAATGCTTGTGTGTGTCTCTTACACATACATACATGGGTAAGGGGGCCATGAAAAGTTTTTGGTCTGCTGACCACTTCTTTAAATCTAATCAAACATTAACATATTTTGTGATCATCTTGGAAACCTGTCAACACCCACTTGAATATATTTAATGTGTGTATAGTTTTAATTTATTTGTTTCTTTCCTCAAGATCAACACCTGTATAATTCATAACAGAATTATCTTTGATAGTGTGGAGGGGGCTAAATTGCTTTTAATTGTCAGTGACAAATTCTAAAAATTTATAGAAATTAATGTTTAGTTTGTTTTCCATGATTGGGTATTACTTCAAACATCATTTTTCATAGAATAGATTAACTTCCAATTTTTTCCCCATAGGGCAAGAGAGCAGTAGACAACAAATTCTGATAACTCGAAGCATCTTGTCAATGAAAACAAGTGGCCTTTGAATCCGAATGACATCCAAATTATAACACTCCTCCTTGCACATGCTTGGAAAAGACCAACTTCTTTCTAAGGCCATGCCAATAAGATAACCCACCCGGACTGCCCAATTTTTTTTTTTTTCTCGGAAAATGCCACATCCAATTCCAGAATTGCCTGGATCTTGGAACACACTGTTACAGCAATGCTTGTTTTTTTTTGGTTTTTTCCTCATCACACGGACATCCCTGTCAGTTATTTTCTTGCTTCTCCTGTCTTCATATTCTTCCGTATTTGATAAAAAGTTGTTAATAACCGTTTTTGTACACTTAACCCTAACAGCAATTTCTCTACTACTCAAATTTTCATTTTTGAGTGCAATTATTTAACCTTTTTAAAATTCACTTAATTTTGTACACAAAGGCATAGTTTATGTCAATTTTATTATGCACAAATGCTGGTGAGTTAATTTATAAAATTTTAAGCAAGTGTTGATTTAAATTATTTTAACTTGCAATGCTTTTTATTTTTATTTTAAATGGCCTCAATTATGCAATAATTGTTTTTTGGAGTGTTTAAATAATTTTACAAGATGAGATTTTGTACTCATAATTATTTGAAACTTTCAGATTAATACATAGTAATATACAGGATTTAAAAAAATTCTCAATTGCTAAAGTCTTAAGATAAAATTAAGCTGACCTAATAATACAGTGGTTGGCAAGTCCTGTCCTAGTACAGCCATTATGTCATGTCTTGTGGGTGTGGAAATGGGAAGAGAGAGAGAGAGAGAGAAAAAAAAAAAAACCAACTAAGACATTAATTAAAAAGCTTTTAATGGCTGAATATATATATTAGGGACATTTTTATCTGATGCCAAAATATTTTTTTTGATGGAAAAAGAACTTTTATTCTCTAAATTTTAAATGGAAAAATGTTATAGTTAAATACTTAAAAATTAAATTTGAAGAAGTGTGTCTCAGAAAATGCTCTTAAATGATCTATTTTTTACAGATCTTAAATTTGAAAGCTTATTACAACCTGTGAAACTAGTTTTGCAATAATTTTTTAATATGTAGAAAAAATGTATTGAAAGACACTCCTGGTGAAACTACGGAAACACTACTGTGAAATAATGTTACATGTAATTGAGATTATCAAATTCTCTGACTGACCAAAAAAAAAGTACTAAATAAAAATAAATATTTTTTCATTTTTTTTAATAATTTTCTTTTTCAGTTCTGCCCATCCATCCAATAATTGCCCTAACGTCAGTTGTCAATACATTTATGTAAATGTAGGTACCCCCATGAGATTGCTAAAAAAGAGCATAGCATGATGAAAGACGCTAAACTTGACGAAAATAAAATTTTATTGTCTAAATGTTAACGTTATTATTAAGAGGAAAGATCAAAGTATTTTGGGGTTATTTTCTTACATTTTTTTTTAATCACTCTTAGCACATTTGAAATTTAAAAAAATTTTTTTTTTTTTTTTTAGTTACCAAAATTGACAGATAATCATGGGAATTATTTTTTCCCCATTTTATATATATATATAATGAAAATCAGTTTGAAATTCTTTTAAAAAAAAAAAAAAAAAAAAAAAATCAATTAGTTTTTTCAAAATTTATTTTAAGAAAATCAGAAATTGTTTATTTAAAATATTTTGAAACAAGCATTTAGTTTCTGCTCCAAAAGACGTAGTTTGAAAATAAAACAAAGCAGATCTTAACATTTCGTATCACTCGACAGGTGCAGAATGACAAATTGACAGATTATGTGAGGATAATTTATTCTACGGAAGGAGAGAAGTGAAATTTAGATTTAACTGAACAAATTATTTACCTCGTTATTTTTAAGGAAAACTTTTAGTGTCCTAATTTTTTTTTTTGTATTTAGCTTTCACCTTTATGTTTACGATACTTTATGTAAAATATATTAGAAAGAAATTAAAGACTGTTGAGAGTGAGATTAAATTTCATAAGAAAGGCATCTAATTTATAGGTACCTTTCTTATGAAATTTTATCAGAAGTGTACATAAAATACTGTAATTTTATGTGCATTTATTACATTACTGTATTATTTGTATTTACATTCATTTTATTAATTTTGATATTTCATTTATGGAAAAATGTCATAACTGAGATTAATATAAAATAAGATCATATAAATTTCATAAGATGATACTGATACCTGTAGGTACCCTTCTCAGTTGAAATAATTGAAATTAAAAAAAAATTGTATTAAAAATTCATTTTGAATCTAAAAAATTTTTTGCTTTCAGAAAATATTGTCAATAAAAGCATTTGAAATTAAATATCTTTGTTTTATTGAATTTTGTAAGTTACAATTCAGATCTGATTTTCAGTTTTTGTGTGTGTGTATGGGGGGGATCACCCCAATTTATATATATATATATATATATATATATATATATATGAATAAAAATGGCTTTCCACAAATCCTTGTGCTTTTAACTAGCTAGGCACGTCCACTTTTTCAAAAAAAACAGCATAAGCGTAATGAAAAATGCCACAAAACTTAATGAAAATAAAGTTTTATCGTCAAAATGCTTATGTTATTAAGATGAAAGACCAAAGTATTTTTTAATTATTTTTTGAAATTTTAATATTTTCTAACACGTTCGAAATTTTGGTTAAAGTCTTCCCTTTTTTTACGTCATCGCGGTGCTGTTAAAATAACTGTTTTTTTTGCGCTTTTATTCCCCCGTTGAAAACACATTGATTTGGAAATTCTTGTAAAAATCAAGTAATTGCCCGATTTTAATGAAATTTTCAGGACATATTCACAAATGAAATTATTTTTCAAATATTTCTTTCTAGAAAATTTTGGTAAAAAAATTTTTTTTTTAAATGTTACACCCCACTTTCTTATTGTCCTGAAATTTCATTCAAAACCTTTTTATTTCCTGAAAATTTTTTTTTTGTTTAAAGTAAGAGTCATTAGAGATGGTAAATCACCTACTTTTTTTTCTTCAAATTTACGCTAACTAAAAATCTGCTCTGAATTGAAAAATAATGAATCCAATAAATCTATGATACTACTTAATTAGAAAAGCTTTTAATTGCTTTTGTAAATAAGTAATATTAAGGTCATTATTGCCTGAAGAAATAAATTTTTTCTGATGAATAATTAAATTTTACAAGAATTTTTTCATTTGTTTTAAATTTTAATTATAATAATTTATAAAAGTTTAAAAATCGTGCAAAATTCTGTATTAGGCTATTTCCTTGTGGTAATTAGTAATTAAGTAGAAACAAAATTTACGAGTTCAAAATTGCAAAGTTTAGTTGTGCTAATTTTTTTTCAAATAATTTTTTATGTTGTACTTTTTTACTTAATACGTTCCTTATTTCCATGTACAGTAGACTGAAATTGCCATTATCATAAAAAGAGACTTGTCCCTTTCAGTAAAACTAAAAAATGAGCGTTCACTCAGATTTCTAATAATTTTCATTTTTTATGGTCATCCGTAGTAGCCGTCATCACCGTCGTAGATCAAATATTGGATAAAAATAACAGTACCAATCGTTAATAATTGGTTGTATATTACTTTTTTATACTAGAAGTAATATTTCTTTTAAATCAGATTAATTTAACATTAAATTTTCTAATTTTACTAAAATAATGTCAGAAACTTTAAATATTTTTAAAATCGATAAATTTGTGTTTGTTTACAAATTTCTTAAAATTAAGAAAATGGCGGGAATTACGAAAATTTGAAATTCCAAAATTAAATTTGACATTCCAATGTATATAGTTTCTATCTGAAATACACCAGAATTGTTTCCTTAATGGAAATAATAAATTTAATGATTAAACTTTCAATTAAAGCTAAAATGAAATCTTCAAGCATGTTTTTTCATTTTTTAAAATTTATTTTAAAAG